GAGAGAGAGAGAGAGAGAGAGAGAGAGAGAGAGAGAGAGAGAGAGAGAGAGGAAAGGGGACAGCGAGAGACGTTTTGCGCTGTCATCGATGGGTTTTTCTTTTCTCTTGGATGAGTTAAATTCAGGTAATTAATCTATTTGTTCGGACCATGTCAGGGAGAAAGAAACCGAGAGAGCAACGCGGGTACCGCATGGCAGCGAGACGCGGTATGGTTTGTCAAACATCGGATTTGGTTGTCTTCGTTTTCTTCTGATGAATTTAATTCAATTGATTTATTATACATTTGGACCATTTTTCGCTTTATGCGTGTCATCCGTGCGCAGAGGTCATGCTAATTGCCTGTTCCTGTGTTCACTTCCAGCAGTAAGGGATGCCCCCAAGGACGTCAGGCGATGTTTTTGCGTTCCTGTGTTTACCCCTTTTTCAGGTTGTTCTTCTTCTTTTGGGTTAATTTCAAAAATATTGCTGTTTCGAAGTTTGGCAGCAAAAATGTCGTCCGTTCGAAGTTTCCTTTGCAGAAATATATGGTTCTTTGCAGCTTTATCGCGTTCCCATAGTTTGCCAGCAAAAATAAAAATACAGCTTTTTGCCCAGTTTCACAGCAAAGGACCCCTAGGCCCCTGGCCGCAGGGACTCAGGGACTCAGCGTTCTGGCCTGAGGCACTCAGCTTTTCTTTTTTCTTTTTTTTTTGGGGTAACTACGGCGCAGTCACGCAAACAGTTTGTAAATGCATTTCAAACTGCGTTTTGGCACTTCAGTCAGGGCCCGAGTTTGAAATCCAGTTCGAACTCTGGCTGCCTTCAGACAGAGCCCTCGTCTGCCCACGAGCAGCAGTTGAAAAAAAAAAAGGAAAAACAGCATCCCTTATGCTGAGTTTGCGGTCCGATACAGGATGCTACAGTACTTGTCTGGAACCGAAAATGAAGCGAGGCAGTTAGATGCCTCGCGTGGAATCCGCCCTGCCTGGCTGGCAGGGCGCTACAACGACCTCAGAACAAAAAGCAAACCAAAAAAAAAGACATGTCTCACCGTCCTCACATACTGGCCAGATACATTCCTCAAAGGACTTGTGTAACTTCGTGGGGAGAGCTCCTCGTTTGTTTTCTTTTTTTTTTCAACCTTTTCTTTTCCTTTTTTTTTTGGGCCTCCATCCCTGGCACGAGTCCTACTTTTGACTGCAGAAACGATGTTTCGAAAGCATTTTCAAACTCTAACCGTGACTGCGCCGTAGTTTTCTCTCTTTTTTTTTTTCCGCGGACGTGGCCGAGGAATCTCGGCCGTGGCCACGCCTAGATGCCTCGGCCACGTTTCTTTTTTCTTTTTTCTTTTTTCTTTTTTCGGCCGTGGCCGAGGCATCTCGGCCGTGGGCATGCCCAGATGCGTCAAAAGACAAAGAACATGGCGGCACGATGAGGCAAGATACATTTTGCACTTGCACACAGGGCACCCTACCTGACCAGAAAGCCGGGTTGTGTACATCTCCCCAAATGCAATTATAAACAGTATCTTCTCCCATAGTGCAATTATATAGGGGCGTGGGGGCGCAGCCAGGACGGCGGCGGACCGGCGATCGCACAGAACTGTCTGTAGAGACACGCAGGGAAAATCACGGGCATAGCAGGGACCGGGGGAGGAGGGGGTAAATTACTCGTAAAGGAATTCAGGGTGTCAGCCTGCAGTCCATTTGCCTCTTTTCGTTGGGTCGACGGTCTTCCTTCCCCGGGACTTGTGAAAATGGGGAATGTATTTTGCCAGTTCTGTTGCAAGAAAGATGCATTCGCGGTTTCCACATTTGCATTAGAATTAGAAAAGGTGGGCCTAGCTCTGTTGGTAAGGCACAGAAGTTGCATTCAGGAGGTCGTGGGTTCAATCCCCATTGGCCTCACGTACGTGCCTGGGCAAGCTTGGTGTTCTACCAGCTAGAGATAACCCGTTGGACCCCCAAGCCTGCATTGGCAGGACCTTGGTTGATGTTGTTGGTTGCTATGCAGCTACAATATTGGCCATTAGACACCGCCATGTGGGGTTTGGGGGTGGGTAGGGGGAGGTGCAGTGACTGGCCATTGCTCGGCGCTAGCACCGCTGATTTCCCCCATCGCAATGCCCACCCACCCCTCATCACCGTGATGAGGGACTGGTACAGCCTTGCTCTCGCACCACTGCCGTGGTGCCAACCTAACCCGTGGGCTGGGGAGAGATCCGGGTTGGTTGGTGTTCCCCCGTACTACACATAAGGCGTCGCCGCACGGGACACGAAACGAAAATCGAAACGAGCGCATCTTCCTTCAGAAAATGGCCAGGTTCATGGGTTTGCTATAAATAGTAACGAGTGTATTTTGCCCCTTTCGTGGGCAGATGCACTTGTTTCGTAGTGAGAGGATGAGATAGATGATTACTAGCAAGAAAAATGAGATAGATGAGAGAAGAATAAAAAAGAAAAAAAAAAGAAATGCAGGCGAGCTGGAGAGAGGGCAACAGAAAATCGTTGAGGAACGCCCAAAAAAAAGGCAAAAAAAAGGGACAAAAGGGGACTGAACACTTCCCTAGAATGAGGACAGAAACATTGCCATATCTTGCCAGACGAAAAGAAAAACTGGTCCCGTCGATCTCTGTGGAGAACGAAAGGCCAGATAATCATGAAAACCTTTCCCATACTAGAAAGGGCAGAACGACCAGACTTGCACCACCATTTCCCACGACCGCCACCACGTGCCCTCAGAAGACTACGGGGCGGTGCCCGGTTGGCGACCGCAACCCTATTTCCTCTAAACCCGTTTACCCGGTTGACGACATTCCCCATATGGAAACCGCCCGCTAAACGACAAAACGCAGCCATCCTGGCTGCCAACTCATTTTTGTGACTTTACTGAAGTTACCTCAAAAATGGGTAACTTCCTTAAAAAAAAAAAAAAAAAGGGTAACTTCAGTATAGTCACAAAAAACGAGTTATAATTCCTAAGTTAGATGCATACTGCCGCTATTTGAACATAACGTGAACCGAAATGGGCAGGCCCTACCAAGTTCTCACCAAAAACAATACAGTATTGGATTTTTTTTTAATCAAAATTAGGTGAACGCGTCCAAGTTAGAGAAACGGCAAACCGATTTGGAATTTCGTAGAAGCTTCTTGGACCGGTAGATTGGAATCACAGTGGCCGTTAGAGCTACACAGAGGGGTAGAAATTTGTCCTTGGTTGTTGCGGTCGAAATAGATGGCTTGATAGCTACTGAAATCAGGGTAGGCGCGTTCAATGCTGACACGTACGTAAATTTCATAGAGAAGAAACTCCTACCTGCCTTGGACCAACCCAAGGTGATCATCATGGACAATGTTCCATTTCATCGTAGTGGGGATGTGAAGAGGGCGATAGAGGAAGCTGGGCACACTTGTCTTTACCTTCCTCCATACTCCCTGTTCTTAACTGCAGGAGAATGGGTCTTTGGCAATGTCAAGTCCCGTGTTTGTCGTGAGGAACTTGGGGGGCAGGGGAATCTGATTGATGCAATCAACCGGGGTCTTTTGCGGATCACTACGGGGATGTGCCAAGGATGGATTAGAGAGGTGACACGAAACTTCGGCAAAGCTAATCGAGGCGAAGTTCTAGGTCGACAGTTTACGGGAGTAGCATGCCCATGATTCAGACGCGTGTGACAAACATGCAAAATTGCTTCACTAAATTGATATCTTTGTTGGTCCCGATGGTGTGCACAGAATCTCAAACCGGTTGACTGTTGAACTAAATTTGTTTTTGGCAATACTAATTTGTTAAATCAATCTGCCTAACTGGGTTTTTTTTTTTTTTTTTTTTTTTTTTAAAMAACCCCCCCSCCAGTATTAGTGCTGTTGTCATGCGTCCAAACTGTTAAATCATTCTGTCCAAAATGGTCATCATGTATCCCAACCTATATCCAGTATGTCCAAAATGCTCATCGTTTCTCCCAACCTAAATCTTATATGTCCAAAATGCTCATCACATATCCCAACCTATACTGGCTGTCCAAATCGGTTCCGATCATGTACTAAATAGGAAAATCGAAATGACCAATTTGGTTTGATGATTGTCCAATTGAATTTTCGTTTGTCCAAATCGCTTTGCCTTGGTCCCAACTAACTTAGTCAAAGGAGTAAAACATGAACCAAAATAAAAAAGGGTAACTACGCCATAGTCACAAAAAACGACTGTGTTACCTCGCATTCAATGAACGCGCATTTCGTGTTTTGTTTTTGATCGTTGTGAACGTGCGTTCAGTGAACGCCGGTAAACGCGTTTGACGAGTTTGCGCAGGGGGTTGTGCAACGCGGGGGAGATCTGCAGGGAGCAGTGGCGGTAGTGAGGGGTGTTGTGGGTGAGGCCCTGCGGAGTTGCAGACCATGGGACAGTGGACCCGGTTTCCAGCACAATCTTCACTACCCGTGGGCCAAGGTCCCATTAGCAAAGAGGATCAGATCGAATGCCTAAATGTGGACGTGTTTTATGCAGAGATGAAAAAAAGCAGTTCAATCTCGATTTTCTGCACCTCTCAACAAACACGTCCAGATTCAGGCGTATACTCCGTGATCCTGACAAACACGTCCAGATTCAGGCGTATACTCCATGATCCTAACAAACACGTCCAGATTCCGGCATAATCTCGATTTCCTGCACGTCCTCTTTT